GCTTTGTAATACATGGCTTTTATCAGATTGAGATAAAGCCTATATTTCTATTTCTTTCAGGGTTTTTATTATGAATAGACAATGAACTGACTGTCACAGGCTTTTTCTGTAATTGAGATGATCATATGGTGTTTGTCCTTGCTTCTTGTATCAGTCAGTGATTACTAGAGAAACAGGCTTAATGCAAGATATTCGAATATATAAGAATATACAAGGTTGGCTTATGATGGTCTCCCAGGTTCAGGTGTGGAAGAGTGCAAAAGGGCTAGCTGGTTGTGCACTGGAAATCCAAAGAATGCAGTCAATGGCCTGAAGCTCACTGTAGTTTTCCAAGTGAGTCCATATCAGAAGCCTGAAAGGTCTGTACTGGAAGCCAGAAGACTATGTCTAAGATGAAGGTGAAGAGTGAAGCTCCTCTAAAGAAACAGAAGCAAACCTTCCTTCTTTATTTCACTTTTATACCACTGAGGTGGCCATCCTGTTGATTGCAGTCACTCACACTCAGTAAATTCCAGAAAATATTCTATCCCTCAACCACACTCAGCTCCATGCTGATCCAATCTATTTGGAAATTTTTTACTTATCTTGACACAATCAGTTAACTACCATACTTCTGATTACTTGATGTATTACATTTGGTGATTTTCATAAGTTGAACCATCCTTGCATCCCTAGCATGAAGCCTTGCTGGTCATGATATACAATCTTTTTGATGATCTGTTATATTCTGTTTGCCAATATCTTGCTGAGGATTCTTATATCTGTCTTCATTAAGGATTTTTACTGGTAGTTCTGTTTTAATTTAATCCTTATTTAGTTTTGAAGTCAGGGTAGTGCTAGCTTTCAAGAAAAAAATGACTTTTCAATTTCACTAAAGAGTTTGAAAAACATTGTTTTTTGTATTTGTTTAATATGGCAGTGAATTCATTGGGACTTGGGCTTTTCTTAGTTGACAGGTTTTATTTTTATTACTTTCAGTTTTATTGCTTGTTATTTAATTATTTAGGTTTTTTAAAATTTCTTGTTTCTACTTTGATAGTTTTTTTTTTTTTGGTCTTTTTCCTTTTTATTGGTACTAGGGATCGAACTCACGACTACCTGCTTGCAAGGCAGGCACTTATGCCGCTGAGCTAAACCTCCAGCCTCAGCTTTGATAGTTCTTAATGTATTTGGGAATCCGTTCTTTTTTTCTGAATTCTCCAATTTGAAAAGTACAATAATGCCTTGCTCAATTCACAAATGGTTTTGTTCACAAACAGTTCAGCACCCAAACAAAAATGTTCAACCAAATTTGCTTTGGTTCACAAACTTCATATTGGGTGACAATCAGAACTGTGATCTTCCCTCAACAAATACAAATCAGCCATCTTCCCCAAAGTTGTAAAGCAAATTATGTTTGTGGGCTGAGATATATCCGTAGTTGCTAATAATCTTATAGATTTTGGCAGTGTCCATTGTGATTTCATCTTTCTCATTTCTAATTTACTGATTTGAGTCTTCTTTCTTTTTTACTTTCCTTTTTAGAGGAGCGATTTGTCATTCATTGATCCTTTATATTGTGAATTTTTTAAGTTTCAATTTACACTAGCTTTAGATTTGGACTGTATTTGTTTTTCTAGGACAATTAGGTATTTATTCAGGGCTGTTCTATTTTTGTGATGTGGGAATTCATAGCTATAAACTTTCCTTTAGGACTGCTTTCTTTGTGTCCCTTAAGTCTAGTATATTGTGCTGGCATTTCCATTTAATTCTAGGAACTGTCTTGCCTTGTTCTTGATTTCTTCTGTGACCTGTTGATTTGTATATTATTTGATTCTTAATTATTTAATTCTGTGACTTGTGTATTTTTTAATTTCCATAGGCTTGTATAGTTTCTGTGTTTTCTCTGGCCACTTCTGGCTTCATTGTGTTATGATTTGATAATATATGCATAATATAATTTCACTTCTTTTGCATTTACGAAAGCACACTTTTTGGGGGAGAATTATGTGGTTTATGCTGGAGAAAGTTCCACATGGTGTTGAGAAGGATGTGCATTGTGTTGTAGGGTGGAGCACTTTCTGGATATATTAAGTCCATTTATTTGAAGTTTGGTTCAAACCTGATATCCTTTTTTTGTCTCATTTGTCTATTTGTGATGGTAAGATATTGAGGTCCCACTGTAAACATATTGATGTTTATCTGATCTTTTATATCCAGTAATGTTTGTTTTATGAAGTTGAGTATATTGTTATCTGGGGTATATATGTTTATATTTGTTTTTGCTTCCTGTTGAATTGTTCCCTTAACCAATATGTAGTAACTTTCTTTACTTCTTTTATCAATTTTGATACATAGTCCTCTTTATCTTAAAATAAGATAGCTATTCCTGATTGTTTTGGGCTTACATTGCATGGAAAATTTGTTTTTATATTACTTGATTTTTAGTCTATGAATTTCTTTTGATTTAAATATGTTTCTTGTGTATAGTACACTATTGGATTTTGATTTTTGATCCATTCTGCAAGTCTGTGTCTTCTAATTGGGTAGTTGAGAACCTTCAATTTGATAACTACTTATTTATTTCCTGTCATTGCATTTATATTCCTATTGCTGGTTCCCTTTGTTTCCCTTTGTTAACTGCCCACTCTAGTTAGTGTATTTATTTTGTTGGGCATTTTGTCATTGTTGGCTTCATTGTTTCTTCCTAAAATGTCCTTGAAAATTTTTTGGAATGCTGGTTTTATATTCAAGAATTTTTAAGTGTTCTTTGCCATGAAAATGTCTTATTTCTCCATCAATTTTGAAAGATAGTTTTGCAAGGCATTTCAGTTTGGATTAAACTGCTTTGTTCTAGGGCTTCAAATACTTTAGGCTCTCCTGACTTAAGTTTTTGCTGAGAAGTCTGTTAGAATTCTAATGAACTTTCCATTATAAGTGATTTGTTGCTTTTCTCTAACAGGTTTAAGTTGCTTTTATTGTGTTGGATTTCTAGAATTTTTGTTTATTATGTGTCATGGAGGGATTCTTTTCTGAAACTGACTCTTTTGTATTTTATATGCTTGTCTGTAGATTAAATTGTTTTTCCATATTTTGAAATTTTTCTATTATTCTGTAAACATTTTTATGCCATTGTGCCATCTCCTGCTTTTTCACTAATTACAATTAATCTTGGTCTCTGTGTCATTTCGCACCTATTCGTCCCATTTTTTATATTCTCTTGATTTTCTGTTAAAGTGCCCATCAGTAATAGGTCACTGACATCAGCCCTGTTCTGGTTCTAACACTGTCTTCACACTGATATTTCTGTACTTCCCAATTTCAAAAGTGTTTTTAGTCTCCTGAACATCTCTTTGGTATCTTTTCATAGACTCTAATTTTCTATAGTGAACATTCATGTTCTGTATCATTTTCTTTAGCTAACCTACTTTTCATTAGCATCTTCTGTAGACTTTGTGGTCATTTTGTTTAGTTATATTTTCTTTGAACTCATCAATCACCTTACAGATCTGTTTTTTTTTAAATTAGTGTGTTATTTTTTGAAATAATTTAACTATGTAACTTTTCATTTCCTCCCCATTTATGCCTGTGCATAAGCTTTGGAAGGGTTGGTTTTTAAAATTTTTATTTTTAGTTTATTTTTGCAGTGCATATACTTATAGTCATCCTCAGGAGTGGTTAAATGTACGTACCACAGCTTTTTAAAAATCTCCTTTCCCTTCTCTCCCCTGCCCTGTCCTCCCCCCCACTCCTCCAATTCCTCTATTCCATTTTTCATTCTGACATATTAATCTTAGCTCATTTTATGGCACATAATGTTTATATTAATTGAGATTATTAAGTTTCTGTATATCTTTATATGTATCTCCCTTCCCCTCCTTCTTACTTCTCACCCTTGTTCCCATGGACAACTTCCTTATTACAAGATATCCATCCCCTTAACCCTTTCTACTCATTCTTTATCATTTTCTTTGCTTTTTCGTTGGCTCTCCTCAAATGAGAGATACCATATGGTATTTAAGCTTTTGTGTTTGGCTTGTTTCACTCAGTGTTGTGTTTTCCAAATGCATCCATTTTCCTACAAATGTCTTAAAATCTATCATTCTTTACAGCAAAGTAGTATTCCATTATATGTTTATGCCACATTTTCTTTATTTAGTCATCTGTTGATGGGTATAGAGGCAGCTTCCAGGATTCTATGAAATTTTCATAGACTTCTGCTACCTTATAGTAAATAACTTTCCATTTAGTGACTCCGTTATAGTAAATATTCTTTCCATTTTGTGACTCCTTGCTTTGCCTTGGGAAAGTCGTGGGGAGTTGGAAATTTTCTATATCCTTGCTTCCTCATTCCCCTTGTGTATCTGCATGAGTGAATGACGATATATGTATATGTATCTGTCCTGCTTTTTCATAATCTTTGGGAGTTGGGGACTAGAGAAGAGTTTGTGGCTTTTATGGAGATTTTTAGTTGCCTTCCTGTGAATATTTTCAGCTTTGTATGTCCAGTACTAGTATTACTCCTTCTGTTATTTACTGTGAGTGATTTTGACTTTGTTCCTATGTTTTTCTAAAGGGATTACTTTTGATTCTAACCGATTCAATCATACAACATTTATATATCATAATCATTGCATTTACATTTCTTGCCCCACTTTTGTCTATTCTATTTGCATGCTATACAGTTTATTATTTATAGTTTTTCTCCCTTTTATTTTAAAAAGAGAAAAGTCAGAAAAAAACAAAAAGCAAAAGACATAAACAACAATAGCAAACTCAATAACAATATAGGTTTTCAAAACAGAATGAAAGAAATTTAACAAGGGTTATTATATTGCAATTATTGTTTTTTTCAAAGAAAGAAAAGAAAATTAAAGAAAATAGAAAAACAAAAAAGAAGGGTAGAACAATGCGAATTGAAAAAATTAACATAAAATTGCTAGTTGATACATTATCCATTGTCGTCTTAATAAATAGTTGCCAAAGTCACAAAATCAAAGCATAAATAGTGGTTAGACACTAAAGATATGGAACACTTCAGACATTTGCATATCATCTTGTGCAGGGGGCATGCTAATCTTCTTTGTATCATTCCAATTTTAGTATACATGCTGCTGAAGCAAGCACTGTCTGTGGTTTTTCTGCAGTGAAAGAGGTGAGGTAGAATTAATTGGAGGTGGTTGGATGAAGAGTGTTAGTCATTAAGGGGGAGGATTGAAATGGTAATTGTGGTAGATTAGAAGAAAGTTTTATCTGGGGTCTGATTTTATTGAGATATTTTTAAGTGAGTTGAAAGATTAGTATTGAGAATTTTCAGAGGATATTTTGTGTGGCTGAGGGTGAGATATTGGAAAAAGGGGATTTACTATATATAATCAAAGCTTGCTAATAGGAAGACAGTAAGCTGGTAAGATACAGAAAAGGCAAAGGCTTAGGATGGAGAGGACCAAAGCATAGTACCAGAGAAGATAGGAGTGACTGTGAGGGAGCTAAATACAGTGATATAAAGCTTGGCAGGAAGGGTCTGGAGAAAGAATAAAGGGACATGTTAATAGTATTGTCTAGGGTCTGAAACCAGACCCATGCCTATCACCAAGCACAAAACTACAGTCTAAATGGATCAAAAACCTAAATATTAAAATAGAAACACTAAATCCCCTGGAAGGCAAGGTAGGTAGACGTCTTAGAGACATAGGAGTAAGCAGAGAATCATGACAAAACGCAAACTGCACACAAGAATCAACAACTGGGATCTCATATTATTGAAACGTTTCTGCACTTTAAAAGAAATCACTAAAGAGTGAAAAAAAAACCCACAGAACGGGAAAGAATTTTAACCAGCAACCCCTCAGATAAAGAACTTATATCCAGAACATATAAAGAACTGAAAAACATCAAGCCCCCCAAATTCAAAGACCCTCTCCAAAAATGGGCATCTGAGATGAACACACAGTTCTTAGATGAAGATATACAAATGGCAAATAAGTACATAAAGAAATGTTCACCATCACTGATCATTCAAGAAATACAAATTAAAACAGCATTAAGATTTCATCTCACTCTGGAAAGAATATCTGCCATCAAGAAATCAACTGATAACAAATGTTGGCAAGGCTGAGGGGAAAAAGGAATACTTCTCCACTGTTGGTGGGAGTGTAGACTGGTGCAGCCACTATGGAAATCATTATGGAGAATTCTCAGAAGACTAGGATTGGAAGTTCCATTCAATTCAGCAATTCCCCTCTTGGATATTTTCCCAGAAAAACTGAAAAGGTCATGTCACAGTGATATATGTATACCCATGTTCATAGCAGCACAATTTGTAATAGCTAAATATTGGAAACAATCCCATAAACTGTAGAGTGGATAAAAAAGATGTGGTATTTTTATACAATGGAATATTATTCAGCTATAAAAATTATGATCTTGAGGCCTTCATAAGTAAATGGAGGAAACTTGAGACTATCCTCATAAGTGAAATAAAAAAAATCATATTTATGAATATCACATTGTGTCTCTAGTGTAAAAAGTAATAAGAACTGTAGGAGTAATAAAACCCAAAATATGTAATTGCTATTGTGAATAAGAGAGGAAAAGAAAATGCTCAAAGGATATAACTGCATGTATGTTTAAGTGTGTAAGATAGCTGAGCATATTACTAAGTTTTTGTTGGATCATTGAGAAGAACAGTTTGCAGTCTCACTGTTTGAATGTCCACTTTGTATGCTTTAATTTTGTAACTTGAACAACTGTTTCTAAGATGATGGTATGTAATTTATTAACTAGTGATTTCTTAGTTTTTAAAAAATTTCTGTATTATTTCTACCCTTTTTTCTGTTTTTCTTTTTTCTCTTTAAATAAAATTAAAAAATATATTGTCTAGGGGATTTGAGGTGAAAAAACCATAGAGAGATGAGACTAGGGAGAGACTCTGATACCCATTGAATCAGAACCAGTGAAAGAACAAATAGACAAAAGTAACAATCTGATGAACACAGGAAAATACAAGAGAATGTAACATAACCCCACATTACTAAGTAAACCAAGCAACATACAAAAACTTCCCTACAGTGGCTTTCCTGCCAGCTCTTGCTCTATGATTGTGGCTGTAAGTGCTTATACCAAGGTCATTCACCAAGTATTGACCATGGAAAGTCCCTCTGGAAGCCGTGTGTCCTGTATTCCTTGATGGTTCCAACTGCCAGTGATTCTTTATGTCCTGATGTAGTTCTCGAGTTCTCCATGAGCAAAACAGTTATTAGTTTCATTTTACTTTTCAGATGGTAGCCAGCCAGCTGCATTAGGCAGAGTTCTATTGTATCTCCTCTGCAGTGTGGCCTATTTTTTTCTGTATCACTTGATCTTATTTTCTTCTCATCTGTCAGTTCCCTTGTGTTTCTCAGATAATAACCACTCTCAGCTTCAGTTCCTCTCCAATCTATTGCTTTCCAGGCTCTAACGCTTTGACCTGGGGAAGCTTGTGTCCCTGGCATTCATTACTTTGCCATTTTGGGATTCCATGGAGTTGGGTGTTTTGGGAGTCATTTTGTTGCCTTCTCTTCTGTTTGTAATTTTTGTTTGTTTGTTTTTGTGTTGAGGCTTGTAGGTTGATTACAGTGAAACACTTCATTTCTAGGATGGAGAAATTGATTTCTTTAATCGGTTTCTGCTTTTCAGTGATGCACTGAAAACTATAGGCCTTTGCTTCTGTCTCAGAATCCCACCGCCTCCATTTATAGGCCACAGCTGTGGAGAATGCAGTATGTCTGGCTCAGTACCCAGTTCTCTGGAACTGTGCTGCAGTATTGTTTTTTTTTTTTTTTTATTTAAGAGGAAAAAGAGAAAAACACAAAACAAACCAAAGCGGTGTAAGGGTACACGTAATACAGAACTACAAAACAAAACAAAACAAAACAAAACAAAAAACAAAACAAACAATGCAGTATTGTTAATTATACCAAGGCATCCCATATATTAGCATGCAGAGAAAACCTTGATAGCAGCAACCATGTCACCTTATCTGTCTTAATAAAATCAGCAACAATAATAGTATCAAAGACAAACTGGATATTGGCATACCTTGAGAACCACTAATATACCATGCTTAATCATAGAAAAGAACTGTAGTATAAGCACTTAGACAAACCAGATGTTGACTATATGGAACAACTTTACCTCTACTACCAGTAGAACAGTATTCAACTGTAATAGCATAGAATAGGGCTGAGGATTTAGCTCAGCAGCATAAGTGCCTGCCTAGCAGGTGCAAGATCATGAGTTTAATCCCTAGTACCTTCCTAATAATAATAATAATAATAATAATATAGAATTAAGTAACAATCTAAAGATTAGTATAGCTTATTAGTTATTTTTGTAAAGCTGGAGAGGATAGAGAACTTGGGAAAAAGAGAAGTAGAATTTGAAACATTTATCAATTGAAAGTAAGAAACAAGAGAAAAAAGTGAGGTGGGTGACCCTATTATGGCGCAAAAAGAAATGAATTATATTAGATACAGTAGCAAAAAAGAATAAACAAGAAAAAACAGCAAAGAAAATTAAGAAAAAAATACTTGAGAGAGAAAATAAAATCAAAAAAAGGCTCCAACCCCCCATGAAAAACAAAAAAAAAATGAAAGAAATTTCTTTGAGTAAAAAAAAAAAAATTTGCTCTGCATTTTCAAACAAGTAGTTTTATTCTAGGTTCTGCAGCAATTCAGCACATCATGATTTTTTCACCTAGCTTTATGTCGTGTGGGTTTGTGAGAGGTCCCTCCTCCTCCAGAGGCTACTCTGTCCATATCCCCATCCTGTGGCAGTGTTCCAGCCAAGGTACATCCTTGCTCCTAATTGTAGGTAGGAAAGGTAGTCAACTGTCTAGTTGTAGGCTGTAGGTTTGGGGTTCAAGCAAACTGTTGGACTTGATGTCAGTGCTTTCAGATCTAGTTTCCTCTAATACTCTCTATTCTTGGCTCCTTACTACGGAGACTAGGGCCTTTATCCTACTCAACCGAAGTTTAAACTTCTTAGGGGTCTGTGTCTAGCCTGTACCCTATGCACAGCTGTCTCCAGCGGCTGTCTTTCACCCAGTACCTATGCACTGCTAATACTGGAAACGTGAAGTGGAATTGTTCTATAGGTATTCTGTGGGTCAGTTTTTAACCACCCTTTCCCCAAATGACACCTAATTAATACTCTGGCAATATGGCAAGTGTTACATTGGATTTCTTCTCCCATGATAGCCAGATGAATCATTTTCAGAGTAAAACCTTGTGCTGCGTTTGTAGTTTACAATGACTGTTGGACTTTTCTAGCGCTGGCATTGCTGGTGAGGTTCATACTTTCTTCCTGAGCTTACCTTTTCTCCCCAGGCCTTGGCCTGGCCCAGGATCAGTTAGATTGATTGATCAGCACCTCTGCTACCCCCCGCCAAAAAAGCCAAAATGTACAGCTTTGTCAGGCTTGGCAGATGGCTGCAGGCAGGGCACAAAGTCCACAGGTGCAGAGTTGGTCATGAGCAAAAGCGTGCATGCTGTGGTGACTGTTGTCTGGGATGCTCAATGGGTATCTAGGCTGCATGGGATGTAGTGGCTATTGCCAGCCACAGTATAATCCCTGTATGGGCCTTGAGGTTCTTTCCAAGTTTTAAAACTATTTCAGTTAGAGTAAAGCAGTTGTATCTGAACATTTCCTTGGCTAATGATCCAATTACTACTTAAGAAAAATTCCTGGAAATATACTTTCTGGATCAAAAAGCATGTACGTCATGAAGATTTATAATATACATCAACAAATTAATCTATTTTATTTTATTAAGACAAGTTCTCACTTTATAGTTCAAACTGGCCTTAAACTCTTTGTAGCCCAGGCTCAAACTCACGGTGATCCTTCTATCTCAGCTTTCCAAATGCTGGGATTACAGGTGTGTGCCACCATGCCCAGAGACAAGCTGATATTTGAAAGACTTTACTAACAGAATGAAAGGTGTGTCTTAATTTTCTTATTTTTGTGTAACTTACATTTTTTTCTTGCAAACTCTTAAAACTTTTCAGTATGGTAATGTTTTCAAATGATTAGACTATATTCTCTAAAAATGATACTTTGAGTTAATATCTGTTGGTGAGCTTCAT